GACAGGGTTTCTCTGTGGTTTTGGAGCCCGTCCTGGAACTAGCTCTGTAGACCAGGCTGGTCTCGAACTCACAGAGATCCGCCTGCCTCTGCCTCCCGAAGTGCTGGGATTAAAGGTGTGTGCACCACCACTGCCCAGCAAATTTTTAAAAACCAATATGGATGCTTTGATACGCTCACATTTACAACGATTTGCATAGAGGAAACCCTAGAGAACGCAGTCCTCCGCCTGCGCTGCAGACTGCAGCTTCTCCCAGGGTGAAGGAACTGGGATGAAGAACACTTGGCATCTAGAGTCCCCTTGACGAGGAGAAAAGAAACAAAAGCAGCTGCATATTTTATCCCGATGCTTAGATTCATGTTCATTTTTTAAGTCCTCAGAAGAAAATCTTGTTGTTTGACACAGGCTTGGCCTCCAACTCATGATTCTCCTTTTCCCAGCATCCCAAGTGTGGGATTACAGGAGTGGACCACCACACCTGCTGTGTCTTCAGACAGGAAATTCTAAAGTAACTCATATACCGAGATGTAATGAAAGTAACTTTAACGTGACTCATTAATTGAAATCTGAGTGAAAAATATCACTAACATCAATATTTTTGAAGTAGGAACGGGCCAATTGTCATGTCTGATCCTTGTATTTTATTTTATTTTTTACAGCACAAAGGAGAGCTATTGACCCAGAGGGGCAATCATGGAATTGGGGGACTGCCTCTGGATCAGGCAAGAACCGAGAGCAAGCAACGGGTGTTGTTTCCAGCAGTGTTTTTTTTTTAATTGGAAAACACTAATTTTTATACCATGATCCTGAAGGCATTTGTTTCTATCAAAATGGATAACATGTATGTCACCTCCATAAAACCCATACGATAGCCCCTCCACGTCTGAACATCACAGATCTGTACCTGCCTCTGCTTCAAATGCTGGGATTAAATGCATGTGCCACCACGGCCCAGTGAAAAATAATATCCTTACAAATAGAAACAATTCACCTAATAATAAAGAACAATACCAACAAACTCATGACAAGAATTTTGTTTTCAAGAGCTCAGAGCGGTATAATACTTCCTTCCTCACATGGATGAGGCCCACGGTGCAGTAGTGGGTGAGGAACAAGAATTTAGCCCTCACAATGTCTGGGTTTTTGAGAAATACTGCTTTCTATTTGTTCTTGAATATTAAATATGTTAACATCTCAAAGCTTTTTGTTTCACATTAACTTGTGGTTAATAAATTTCTGTGAAAGAAAAGCGGGACCCTGTCCCGCTGTGCAGTTGACATTACTCCAGGAGAACTTGCTTCTTCAAAGACGGGCACAGTTGACAAAGCTGAGCGCTCTCCTGTAAAGTGTCTGCAGTTAAAACAAACCTGACTAGAACCCGAGGCATTCCTAAGGAAGGAGAGTGGAGACCTGTATCAGAGACATGGGACAGTCCTGTCCCTCAGGCACTCAGAAAGCGTGTCATCTCAAGACTCCATTCAGGCCAGATTCCTTTCTTCATAGCTACCACACCCTCATACCAGCAGCCACCCTACTCCTGTGTTGGCAACTAAGAAAGCCGGCGCGCGTGACGTGGGGGAGACGGAGCAGGAAGGTAAGTGGGAACAAGGAAGGGTTTCTCCTGTAAGACCCATACCTTCCTTCTTAAAAGAACCCAGAGGGAATCTGAGGGCGCGCTGGCCCAGAAGTTTCTCGTTCCTACATTCCAAATCCCTTCACTTCCTACCACAGAAGTGAGCACTAGCTCACCCTGGACCCCAGGACACTTTCGTCTCTGAGATGCCCTTACGTGAGAGATGTTTTCTTCCAGTTCTTCCACCCGCTCCAAGGCTGCGTTCTTGGTTTCTGCATCTTCCAGCAGAGCCCCCACATCAAACACGTTGTCTAGGTAAGCCTGAATTTGTACTTGCAGCTTGTCACTCTCGGTGTGTTTCAGCTTCTGAAAAACAAAATGCCAGGACAGTATTAATTGATCTGTGGACACAGAACGCGATTACCCAACCCTCTACTCATTGCATCACAAGGAGCCTACCCTTCCGCATCAGAGTTTAACACATCCTCCAGGAGAGAATTACAGCATATCCCTAAAGAAGAAGGTATGACCAGACTATCTCCCAGATACACGCACAAATACACATACAAACTACATTATATATGTACATATATATGTATATACACATATATATATGTATATAGACTAGACTTACCTCAATTCCTTCCTACTCTAGCCTAAATCATTCTTACCTAGGTAAAGTCAAGGCCACAGAGACATTGAAGGAGGATCTGAAATGGAATAGTTACAAGTCCTGTGAAAAACTAAGGGGTGTCCATGGAGAAGACCGCTGTGGGGGGCATCTTACCAGGATGGAGACCACCGACTGGGGGCAGAGGACAGTTAGCTAGGAGCTAGCAGTTGTAGTCACGCTTCCTTTGGGTTATTTTAGTACACATTACCAGAGCTCACCCTGCAGGATTCCTTTCCTAAGATAGCGCCTCACATGAATAGCTCAGGGCTCCCCAAAGCATGAATCAGAAAGGATCTTCCAGTTCACTGAATCCCCGATGAGGGAGCCTGAAGCAACTCAGCACGCTATTTCTCAAGTGGCACCAGAGGCTGAAGAAATCCAAGCGTTCTCCCCTGAGAACCATGCATTATGATTTCCTCTGGGAAACCATGGAGCCAGAAGAACATCTGGCATATAGATGAGGCCAGTATGTAAACGAACATATCAATGACCACTGGCAAAGAAGGCTGCCCTAGCAAACAAAATATTTATATATCAGAGGCATATAATATTGTTTTTCTAATGATCTCTGCCCATCAGGGTCCAGCACCAACAGAACACAGTTAAAGAAGTACAGGGCTGGGGGGTTGGTACCTTTAAGAGAAATTTCATATTACATAATTTAAAAAAAAAATTTTTTTCTCTTAGGTTTAAACTGAAATCCTACAGTTTAACTTGTGTTTTTTTTACATTTTTTTAATATTTATTTATTATGTGTACAATATTCTGTCTGTGTGTATGTCTGCAGGCCAGAAGAGGGCACCAGGCCTCATTACAGATGGTTGTGAGCCACCATGTGGTTGCCGGGAATTGAACTCAGGACCTTTGGAAGAGCAGGCAATGCTCTTAACCACTGAGCCATCTCTCCAGCACAGTTTAACTTGTTTTAAGGAGAGTACATTGCATCTTAGTTTAAAAGTCAGACACGAGAAAAGAGATAAGAATCTAGAGCTAGAAAACAGTGAGCATCAGAGACGCTGCTCCATGTGCCTTTCCCAAGATTCACAGTCAATAATGGATGTGCACCAATGTCATCTGCTGCCATGACAACCTAGAGCCCAAAGCAAAAATCTCACAAAACCGAACCTCCAACACTGATAGCAATTCACAGTCCTGATTCTTGTTCAAATCCTGAAACTTGTGGAGCATGCGAGGAGAGAGGATAGATAAACTAATCACGAAGCATGCCAGGGGTGGGGAGGGGTCAATACATTCTGCACCCCAATAAAGTGGGTGCGAAGCAGGCAGTTCCCTGGCTTCACACCTAACAAAGATGAGCAGCTAAACACCGGACACAGCCAAGGGAAGGCGTCCCCATCATCTCCATATCAGGAAACAACCTGGCGACTTAGGTCAGCAGGCCCTGCCCCGCCACTAGTGCGCTTCTGAATCCAACTAAACCGTTCTCCAGGGAAAGGGAAAACCAAAGCTATCTGACAAAGAGGGGTACATCCAGTGGACACCAAGGTCCTGGAGGTCATCTATGAATACCACATATGCTTTCTGCTTCTCACTGAGGAACTTCAGGGAACTGCCGGCATGTCTGTGAGGCAGCAAGAGAAAGAAACAACTCCTTCCCCCCAGGGAAAGCTCCAGGAGGACGGCTCTAGTGTCCGTTTCCTCATCACACTTTTATGCTCTAAGCACTAACTCATTCTACTGCACTCTTGGCTTGATCTTGCCTGCTTGAATGGGGTCCCAAGAGTGCCCCCAAATAATATTTTTTTTTCTAGTTTTGATAAAGGATGCAATGAGACTTGACCCAGACAGAGCTCGAAAGCAAAGTAAAGTAAAGCAGCAATGCTCCCAGAGGCTGTCTGACTCCAGAACTAAAGGCTGCAGGCAACGGACCCACAGCTGTCCCGGGAATTCTGTAATAATCCAACTCTGCTGGCAAACTGCGCCATTCAAATTGGCTCCCTTTAACTAGCACGGCAATTGTTAACCACACAATGCTTTAGGTATTTTCCAGTTACTCTGGAAAAGAACCTCTGAAAACAGGCAATAGATCCATTTTTAAAAGACACCAAAAAAAGATAGTTATACTCACATCCAGGTATTCATCCAGGGCTAATTTGGTAAATTCATACTGGAGGTGAACTCTGAAGTTCATGTCTTCTACCGAATGAACTACAATATTAATAAACTGCATAGAAGCCACCTGAAACGAAATTTCCAAGGGTTTAAATCAGTTCAAAGTGCTTTCTCCCAATTTAAGCATATCCAGAACATTTGATTTCACAAGTCTCAGGCTACGCCAATTCCTTTTTCTTTAGCGTAATTAAATCTTCATTCATTCACACACACACACACACACACACACCCTGTGTATGAGTGGAGAAATCAGTAAGAAAACAAGCAAGCAAATAAGAAGGCCACCGTTCATTGCTGACCAGCTATTGCTGTGATGTGATGGCTAGCTGGCTAAGGATTCTGCTGGAGGGGACTCTTCTACACTGACAGCTTATGACCTAGAATTGCAAGTCAGCAAAACCACTTCCTGTCCTGGAACTCATGCTATAGACCAGGGTGGCCTTGAACTCACAGACCTGGTTGCCTTTTGTCAGATCATTTCATCACAGCAACACCGGGAACTAGAACAGTTGTGTGCTGGATAGCTTTGGAAGATGCATGAATCCTCTTAGTGGAAAGGGGACCCTCCTAAAATCATCTTGCCAGGTTTTTTTTTTTCTTCACTTCTTTTCACCTATGTAATTAAAAAAAAAAAAAACAACACCTGGGGCTGGAGAGATGGCTCAGTGGTTAAGAGCACTGGCTGCTCTCCCAGAGGTCCTGAGTTTAATTCCCAGCAACCACATGGTGGCTCACAACCAACTGTAATAGATCTGGTGCCCTCTTCTGGTCTTCAAGCAGAACACTGTACAAATAATAAATAAATTATAAACTAATTTAAAAAAAAAAACCCACAGAAAAAAGTTTCATGCTACATTAAAGGGATTTGTACCATTTAATATGGGGAATATATTGTTTGGGAAGCTGGAAAGTTCAATGGAATTCCCAAGGAAGTTTATCAAAAACCTCATTTTCTGGAGCGAAACAGAGTTAAACTGTTACATCTTTCCATGTTGCTTTTGTGCAGAAGTCTACATGATCTCCTGAGCTCCATGATAGCCGACGAGCCAAGGAGAGAGCACAAGGGCGCTACTGTGAACACAGCAGCAAACTGTGGGCTGTGAACAAGGCCCTTAGAACCTGGACACAGGAGGAAATGAAATGGCAGGAAATGGCTTCCAGTCTGTTTACAAATGGCACAAGTGTTCTAAGGGACTTACGCTAATTCCAGCACAAAGTCAAATGACCAGGTCAGCAGGCATCATAAACGAGTGAGGTGGGCAATCCACGGCACAACAAATTGCAGAGAGAGGACTTGTCTTTTTAAATAAACAAAGGGGCACAGGCTCCTTGGCTGTAGTAGCTAATACTCCAGCAGGGAGGAGGCAGCCAATAGCCAATACGGAGGTACTATATATAGTAAATATTATATAGTTGGATACTTTTAATTTAAAAAAAGAGCAGACATCTATTTTCATGTACCATACCTAAAGATTTTCACAGAAGAAATGCATGTATGAATAGGTGCACACCCTGGCTATGGGCTGGCCTCCGCCTCGGCTCTACCAGAACAAGAAAGTTCCTCTTGAGAAGTCATGGGAGAAAAGCTGGCAATGAGCCAGTGCCCAGGGCTCGCAACACCCATCAACACCTGAGGCCAGCATTACTCTAACACATCCCCAAATTCTAACAACAAGAATGAAAGTCACGGTAAAAGGGACACTTGTTTTACCACTCCACATCTTAAAAAGGAAGTATTCACGCTGGAAAAGCAAGTATCACATCTAAGGGAAGAGAAAAGCTCTAGAAAGGTGTTTACCTTCCTGATTTTAGAAGGGGCTGAGGCTCAGATGCACACAAATCAGAAGGACTTTTCACACAACAGAGCTAACATGTCTACACACGCTACACTAGAGTCACTGCAGTGGCTCAATGAAAACATGACTTAGCATCCAAACCACAGGCTCTGCATGAGAGGACTGTTAGAATGCCTCTTCTAGAGGCGAAGTGATCTGGAGAAGGAGCTCCTGGGTCCAGAAGTTTCCTAGGAAGACTGAACTAGGTCAAACCTGTAGACTGGGGTGCACTGGAAAGGAATGACTCAGGACGCCTCATGAGCAGTTATGGCTTGAGCCCTCATGGAAGAAGGAGGTGGAATTCAGAAGTGCCGAAACACCCTGAGTGCCTTCCTAAGACTAGGGGCTCCTGCAGAGGCAGGGCCATCGGCGCTGTCCTTCTAGGGCAAGCCAGTGATCTGCAGAGCCAAGCACTCTAGTCTCTGAGCATGTGGTCTAGAGAGGGCACTGACAGAGGTCAAGAGCAAGGTCAAGGTTCCATCTATCTTGGGACTCGACACGTAGCACTGCTGGCAACTCAGCTTGGTGGCTCTGGCCATTCACAGCAGGTCCTAACTTCTTTACTCAACTACATGACTTTCCCTTTCATTGCTATGAATGATTAGCACTCTGTCCCTTTACTCAAATGAGTAAAACTTGAAAGAGCACCACAAAGGGAGCACACAGATAAAGAAAAACACCCAACAGAAGGGTACTGAACTCATCTTCCCGCTCTCTGGAGTGGTCGATTTCAGTGTGGCATATGTTTTGCAGCCGAGACTGGGGGAAGGGGGCAGCTGAAAGTGAGTTTGCATTGGTGAATGTAGTACCAAGTGAACTCACCATAAAATCTATGTTATTGTCTTCATTTCTGAAATGCTCCATCAACTTCTCAAAGCGCTGCTTTTCTCCGCAGACCTGAAACACACATTGTTATTGTGCTTAGGACGTCACAAACATAAGCTTTCCAAAAGCAGCGACGGAAATTTCAGCACTAACAATTATTTGCAGAATACGTTTTTCTATCTCCCTTATACACTCCTTCCTTCTCTTCAAAGCTGGTTAGATACCAAAGGGAGGGTCTGAAGCAGACGAGATGCGGGCCCTTGGCTTCTTTTCCCTGTGGCTTTGATGTTATCAGATGTGTGTTTCTACAACTCAGCTCATAGGCAAAGGCTGGCTATACAGTTCCTATGTCACCAGAGTCTTTAAACTCCGTCTAAGGAAGACTGACCATCCTCTCACGTCTGTCTTCACCAAACACTACTGCATCGTCACAACACAGCGACTATGTCACAACCTCGGGGGATGATTCTTTTTCATCCATTAAGGGGCAGTGTTGGTACACGCCTTTAATCCCAGCAGAGGCAGACGGATCTCTGTGAGTTCGAGGCCAGCATGGTCTACAGAGTAAATTCCAGTGCAGTCATGGCTACACAAAGAAACCCTGTCTCAAAAAACAAAAAACAATAACAAAAACTGCACCTTTTATTAAGCTACACATTTTGTTTTGTTTCTTAAGACAGAGAGTATCTCTGTGGACTCGCTTTGTAGATCACGTGACCTCAAACTCACAGAGAACCACCTAACTCGGCCTCCTAAAAGCTGGGATTAAAGGTGAGTGGCATCACACCTGATTTATTAAACTAGACTTGAAAAGACACAGAAGCATACCAAACAGTGTGACTGTTAGGAGCTGAACTGTCCCCTCGCCCAAGCGGGCATGCGGACACTCAGTGTGACTGTAGATAAAGAGTTCACAAGGCAACTTCGGAGCACCGCTGTGCAGAGCAGGAACATGGTGGGTACAGCTGAATGATTCCCATGGTTCAGAGCAGGCACACTGTGGGTAGAGCTGAATGATTCCCATGGTTCAGAGCAGGCACACCGTGGGTAGAGCTGAATGAAGCAGTGCTTTAATCCCACAGGGCTAGAATCTTCTTCATGAGGTCACAAGGGAAGGTGTGAAGACCAGAAAGTGAGTACACTCAAAACCGAACCAACTATATGCAGGCACCCTGGTCTTGGGTTCCCAGTCTACAGAGCAATGGGGAAATTATTTTTGTTTTATTAAGCACCCGGGGGGGGGGGCTGGAGAGATGGCTCAGAGCTTAAGAGCATAGGCTCTTCTCCTAGAGATACTGAGTTCAATTCCCAGCAACCACACAGTGGCTCACAACCATCTGTAATGACACCTGGTGCCCTCTTCTGGCCTGCAGGCGTACATGCAGACAGAATACTGTATACATAATAAATAAATCTTAAAAATTATTTGAAAGATAAAGTCCATTGGGGTTCTGTTGTACCCCCATGAAGATGAAGCCACATCACTCAGAGGTTGCTAGAGCTTCCTTCTACAGAAAGGAACCCTCCTGTGCACAGCTCAAATGTTTACCAAGACCAAGTACAACCCCACAATCCCTGGTTGTCTGAGAGGTGTCCACTCATATCACATGGAGGCTCATGACAAGACTAGATATTTTTTTGGCCAAAGTTTAGATTTCCAAACAGGAAAATGAGTCCATGCAGAAATAACTCTCCCCACAATGGGACACGCGGGACTCGCATTCCCAGTTTGGAAAATTGACAACTGACAAGCAGTTTGCTTTGTCCTGGGAGGCTTGATGTGTTACACGTCAAGAGTCAAAACCAAATAAGCAAAGGAACTCATCTTGCCCATCGCCCTAACTGCATCCCTGCCACACGCACAAAGGAAGCACCACTTACTCGCCTTCCACCTATTCCTGGAAACAACCTCGGAATGGAAGGGCAGTGCTGCTCTTGGAGATGTCCCAGCAAACCTGGGAAACCACAGGAGCAGCTGGTGAAGGACTGGCGAGGAAGGAGCGCTCGCATTCCACAGCCAAGCAAAACAGAGCCTGCAGCTCCTGTTACCACGATTGGCTATTTCCACCCTCAGTGACGCAGAGTCCGGGGTCAGATCTGTAAAAGACTTCCACACCTCAAGACCAGCGGCTGTTGGAGCTCAGTCAGGAGCTGCTGGGCCATTTTCTTCTGCTGAATGTCTCAATTATGAATGAAAACTAAATGTGACTATACCCTTGGCAGAGTGATTCTGAGACAGTTGTCAGGGAAGGACAAATGGATGCTGAACTACCATGGGCAGCGCAGAGTCTGGAGAATAGCTGGGGGCAGGGCAGCAGTGACATGACAAGCTGAAATAATGCCTGCAAGGCTCAGTCATTCAACAGCGGCACAAGCCAGCAATGCTTCCACCACAGAGAGGCACAGCCAGCAGGCCCAGCTCATGGTTGCTGGGACAGAGAGCAGACATTGTAAATGTGACTTGTTGCTCCTCACTGTACCCACACCAGGGTGGATAGAAAAGGGAACCAGGAAAGTTCATTGGTGTACTCTGCTGGAGGAGGGAAGTGGTGGGCCTCCAAAGGCATGTGTGCTAAAGGCCTGGTGCCCAGATGGGAGGACTAGGGGGTACTGTGGACTTCCAAAGGGTGGCTCTCAGCTCATTGTGAGTAGCCCCAAAGATGAATGCAGGAAGTTGGCCCCTCCCGATCCTCAATGAGTTCACAGCACAAAGTTTGCTATCCTATGTGCTCCCACCATGACGCACGGGACTCAACATGGACACAAAGCAATAGTCACCTGATCTTGGACTAAAATTTCCAGAGGCATGAATGAAAAGCAATCTGTTTCTCTTTATGATTGTGTCTCATCTCCCACTGTCAGAACATGAAGCTGAGTAACACCAGTGTTAAAGAAACGTGATCTACTTTAAACTGTGTCAAAAGGCTCACAGCTAGCCTTGGCCATGTGACTTCTGTCGTCTGTAAATAAAATCTCCTGTTGTTTCCACTATCTTGGCTAATTTTTATGTCTGCAGTCAAAGCAGCACTTAACTCTTTGGAATTATCATACTTACGGCAGGCACAAAGAAATTTCATATGGAATCATAAGTTATGGAATTAGTTAAATTCCATATGCTGAATGCTGGGATTAAAAAGGTGTGCAGCCACCACCCAGCTAAATCCTGTTCCCCCTTTTTAAAATTTTACTAGTAATTTAAAACCACCCCAAGAATCTACCTTATCTGTAACCATTCCTATCATGTTTGTTTTTGTATGAGAAAATTAAGAAAAACATGTTTAGAAAGTGCTTAGATTATGATAGCATGTCATATAACCCAGAGTTGATTGGTGACCGTCCTGGAGGGGAAGCTTAGTAGAATGAGGGCAGGTCCACTTACACCGAACCTCTCCCTCTTTATTCCTTACTCCCAGGATATACTCAGGAACTAACAATATGCATTATTCTGGTGATTAGGTAAACAATATATACTCAAATTTTAATGACAGAAAACATTCTGGTAATTTCTCTACTTTGAAATATGTGAGGATGAAACAAAATCAACAACTGTGTTCAAGTCTTCATTCCAAATTACTACTCATGATTATGAAAGAAACCAGGAAGCAAAACCCTTCGATAGTTACATAAAAACATGTTTGTGTTTTATAAATGTTTCAATTCTAAACAAAACTGCAGCTCAACCCACAGGAAGTCAAGCTCATTACGTACCTACTGGCATCCTGGGTAAAATTATAGTAGGAAATTGAAACTAAGCAAAATGCTTTAGGTTTGGGAAGTGTCTGTCTTCCACTTGATCTTGGGGCACATCTGCTCTTCACCTAAATCCCCATTACAGTCAGTCTTGCCTTTATCAAGGCAAAGATACTGGGGGGGACACACCATGCCTCTTATTGTCTCTACAAAAAAAAAACTTCTCCATGCTGAAAAATACATATACTGGCTCAACAACTCCCTAGACATTTCCATGACCTCCAAGTTTGCTTAGCAGTTCTCAAGGAAAGGGTGGTGAGCACAGATGTTAAACAAAGACTAACCAAACATCTGTAGGAAAGAAAACTAGAGGTATAAAATGTAAGTAGGGGACTAACTAGTCCTAACACTGAAACCAACATACACCAGCGGTAGCAGGACAGCCTTGGCCAATCTTGTCACTTGCTTCTTGTAGGATTTAACTGTTGTACATACAGGATCTTGACGCAACTGTGCATATATTAACACATACATAAGTATACACAAATACGACTTATCTTACCCTTCTTCCCAGAGAGCGTGTCTAGCCTCTCAGAGCTATGATTGAACCTCACCAGCCAATGGAGCACTTGGCACTAGACTCTCAAACCATGAAAACAACTGGCAACTTACACTTTGATGACATTTAATTTTTTTTTCCTATTTTCACATGATAGAAATTACCTTTAAAAGCAGCTAGAACAAATCTGAGATGCAAAATCTCAAGAGAGACTACTTCTTTTGAGGTAGTCTCACGTAGTCTAGACTAGCTTCAAGGTCACTTGGAAGCTTCAAATGACCTAACCTCTTACTTCTGGTTCCCAATACTAGAACTGTAGGCATGCATCGCCACACCCAGCAACTAGACAAGGATATTTTTAATGCATATTTACCACACACATCTGTATAGGATGAAGGAAAGGGAGGAAGGGAAGGAGGGAGAGAGGGAGGGATGGAGGGAAGAAGAGAAGGAGAAAAAGAGAAGGAAGGAGGGAAGGAGGGAGAGAGGGAGGGAGAGAAGAAAGGAGGGAGGGAGAGTAGTTTGGATACAGAAGAAAGCAAGGTGGCCCTAAAACAGACATTGAACATGGCTTTGCAGAAATCAAGACTGGACATGACTGCCAAATTCTGACGAGGAGTTGAAACCTCCGTGCTAATGTTTCCTGGAGCTGATACTACCAAAGCTGTCCACAGCTTGGACTTTATGTTATAATCTATATACTGTGCTTCACCCTGTTCTCATGTCCTGTACAACCACAGAACACATATATCAGAGAACTAGTTCTGAAGGAAGGTTCTAGGCTTGGAGACTAGCACCCAAGCCTGGGGACACTGCATGTCTC